GTCCTGGCAGGATCCTCGCAGCACAGCCTGGAAGGTCAGGTCACGTCACCCCCAGGTAAAGGATAAAGCCCCTTTGGAGAAAAGGAGGCAGTGAAGTGCTGCAGAGCAGTAATCGTCCCTCTGGGCTGGGGGGGGGGGGGGCCTGGAAAATGGTGGCGGAAGAGGTCTGAAGACCAGGGAAACAAATCTGATTTATATGCGGGCTGTTGCCTGGACCGAGGAGCTGCGGCTGGGAGGGTGTGAGAGGGAGAAGCTTACTCTGAGCAGCTCTATACGCCGGGTCCACCTTTCACACTGCTTTACATAAATCAGCAGCAGGAAGAGAGACTCAAACCTTAGAGGAATTCCATCGCAATGACCCAGAATAAGAGATTGTGACATTTTGCCTCTTTTAATTGGATGCATTTTGGATAGTGACTGATTGAAAAATACACACATTACATTCTTCTCCCTTTCCTCTTTTATTTTTTCCCCCTTTTTTATCCCCCCCCCCCTTTTTTTTTAAATTATTTAGGGCTGATGAACCAACCGGACTGTTTTGTTGTTCATCTGGGGAAATGCTTTTTATTTTGCTAGTGCTGCCCATATGCTAGGCGCACCGACTTCGCAGCACAAATGCCTCAATCGATGACCCTAAGAACAAAGTGCATGGAAAACACTCTGGTCTGGGTACCTGAAAAGTCTCTTTCTGTCTGTCACAACGGCCCCACCTCTATTTTCCTGTCTAGGTAGCCCTACATCTCTCAAGCATGAAATATGCTATTGCAAACTGAGTTAATTTCTGAAGTTATGCCTCTTTCTTTCTATGCAACCTTAGAAAACTTTTAATATGCAATAGATAAACAAGAATCTTCTATGTCAATTTGGGTAAATACTGGCTCAATAACGTTTTAAAAATTCTCTTTCGATTTCCCAAATGAAGAAGGGCGCAGAAAGCAAGGAGAAATACAGCCGGGTTGTAATAACACCCATTGCGCCCGCGGTTTTTTGCTAGAGCAGTTCTATTATTATTTAAAACAAAACAAAAAAAAAGAAATAAAAAGAAAGGAAAAAGAAAGAAAACAAGGAAAGAGAAACGGAGGGGAAAGAAAAAAAAAAAAAGAAAAGGGGAGGTGGGAGCAGAGTGTTCACGTTACTACAAGTTTCTTGGCACTTCTCCAGAAATGTAAGCTACACTTTTGCTCTGTGCGACCGGGATAGTCAAAAATATAGATGAGGAGCAGAGAATTTCATAAAGAAGTCCCCTCTCCCCGGGACATCAAAGCCAACGCGCTCCACAGCGCGGTTACTCTCTGCTCTCCTACTTGCCCGCCGAGACACCAATGTTTCTTTGATTTCGGTGTCACCTCCACCTTTAATTCTGTTTCATGTAAACAGATCGTTATCGGGGCTTCTTTTTTTATTATTTTTATTTATTTATTTATTTTTACAAAAGAAGACCCCGCGAGTTCTCTGCTTGAATTCCTCCCATCACAATAAAACGGTGCGGGGTTTTCTTTTTTTTTTTTGTTTTAACACAAACTAGCTCGGTGAGTAATTAAGAACAAACCACTTGTGTTCTGACTGAAACAAAACCGACTCATGCCAAGATAAATTTACCCTGCAAAATAGGATCATAAACTTGAAAGACTGCATCTGCCTCCAGCTTTCTTACCCTTTGTCCTGTTTGAAGATACGGTAATGCTATTGTCCGGCTGCCATTGTTTTAAGCCCATTGTAATCTTAACCTTCTAGATTAAATTCTACCTCCCCTATAAGCCAAAAAAAAAAAAAAAAAAAAAAAGAAAAAGAAAAATCCACCCGGCTTTTTGTTGGTAGCCTAGCAAAGGGCGAAATTAAATGGATTTTTAAGTAATCTTGTGGCTAGTCGGTATTTTTCCTTTTTGCCTTGAATTATCAATTTCCGATGTGTCCTTTGAAAGGGATATTTGTTACATTAAATACCTGACTCATAAATAATGAGGTTTGCTAATTAGTTCCACATGGAAGAATGGAGGAGGTAAATTACCCTGAGAACGTTGCTTATTTTTACAAACATGATAAAGTAGCGGGCATAAAACGCTGCATTCTTGCGATAGCCTCAAACTACAGCAATCAGGTTCATCTGTCAAAAAAAGTCCCCGTTTTGCCTGAATCCTTTAAAGTCCAGTAGCCCTGTCCTTTCTGCTGCATCGCATCGGAGTCCAGCATTTCGCCACCAGGTCGGCTACTTTATTTTGTCCCCTTTGAGGGGACGAGATTTTCCCTTCCTGTCAGTTTAAGCGGGGAAATAGAGCTTACAATTTATCTGTGCCTGGGAAACTAACTGGAAAGGGAATAAAATCGCCCTTTCGCTCCGCATCACTCGAGCGTGCTGCTCTTGGGGAATAGTCATTGTTCGGCGTTGTTCAGCACAGATTTATTCAAAGTATTAATGAAGTGTGCAGAATCTATTAAAGAAGGTTTATTCGGAGCTAATTGAGCGTGAAAGAGTTAATTGCTAACATTAATGAGGACTGGAAGGACTCAGTCAGCATGTGCCTCGGGTATCTCCGCTCAATCCTTATAAAATCATCATTCACATTTTATCACGAAATCAGTGCTGACAAGTTTCTCCAGACCACCATTGCGAACGCGGCGGATTTTAGCCTCGCAATAATAATTAATAATAATAACCGGGCTCCGACTGCAGCAGCGATCGCTACGCTGCCCGGAGCAGCCTTTATCCAAAACACCAGCACCCCCCCCCTCCCCCCGGGTCCGGATCCTGGCGGGCCGGGGGCAGCGCGGGCCA